AGATAAAAAAATGTTTTAAAATTTAGCAAATGAACTTATTTACCGAAATGAAATATATTATTTTTTAAAAAAAATTAAGAAACTATATATGATCATAGTTTAGGCTACTGCATGCATATACCCCGATCAAACTGAAATTTTAGTAGCTTGCGGAGACCATTAGAGAACTCAATGTACTAGATAGTAATTATAACATATTAGACTAAACTGCTTATAAACTCATACAAAGAATCAGAGGAGGAGAAATCTTTAATTAAGGTAACCTTAATTCCTCAGCTTCTTTACTGCTGCTCGATGCAGATACTTAGGGATCTAGGAAAGAAGAGAATTAGAAGAAAAATACAAGAAAACAAACATGAACTCAAAGAGAAAAATCTTATTTAGTGTTTCAAGATACCAAGATTGGGGTTAGACAGCAGATTCGTCGCCAAGAAAGCCAGTCAAACCCCAGATGGGTTTCATCAAGAGCAATGAAATTGAAAGAAATCAAGAAATATCAGTGAAATCTATCCTAACATTCAAAGAAAATCATCAAAATCAATTTGAAATCTAAAGAAGATGAGCTGAAATCGATAGCAGCTTCCCTCAGGAATGGTAACGACCAAATATTATTTTTTAAATATTTATTTTATTTTATTTTATTAAAAATAATTAATAATTAATAAAATAATTAATATTTATTAATTAATAAATTAAAAATAATTAATAATTTTATACTTTTAAATACTATTTAAAAAAATATTAGTAGTTTTAACCTTTGACATGGCAATAAACACTTCCATTCCCTTTGGAGGTCTGGCCATAGAAAAAATGAAAGAGATGAAAAGAACTGAGGAGACGTATCTGATTAAACAAAGGGTCGAAGGGACCCAAAAGTATGTAGAGCAATAACAAAAAGGGCAAAAAGGGGAAATAATAAAAAAATTTTAAATTTCAAAAATTTCAAATGCCTTATGACCTATAAATTCTTATCGGTGAACGGGAAAGGAAAAGTATTACTCCCTTTGGCTACTGTTAGTGGTTTTAATTTAAATTTTTAATATTTTTAGTTAAAAATTATTTTATAATTTAAATTATATTAAATTATAAAAATAACAATTTTTATGTTAAAAAGAATTCTTTTGATTTTGGATTATTTTTCTTTAATTTAAG